GACGTGGCCGTGTACGGCGTGGCTGTGCCAGGTAAGCTGGGGCCGCGGCGAGTGACCCTGGGGGCGGCAGTCCCGGAGCGGGGAGCCCGGCCAGAGACTGGGAGGTGCAAGATCCTACTGCGCAGTGGTGTGTGGCGGACTGGTCCCGGGCAGCGTCCTTCCTGCGGTGCGGGGTGTACAGCCGGGGCAGGTTCTCAGCTGAGCCGTCTCCCCAGGAGTGGAGGGCCGAGCGGGCATGGCGGCCATCGCGGACCCCCACGGCCAGGTAGACCCCAACTCCATGTACCAGGAGCTGCAGAAGGTGCTGGCGCCCTACGCGCGGCCCATGTTCCTGCGCCTGCTGCCGCAGGTGGACACCACAGGTATAGCCCTCGCCTCTGCCTTCCTCACACGGTTCCAGGCCTGCTCCACCCTGCCTGGCCTGAGAGGGCGCTGTTTTCATCTGCGTTTTTCGCGTAGTGCCTGGGGTCCTAGCTTTCCGTGTCTTTCGTGCACTTTTGCACTCACATCGCTTTACAATTAAAAAAAAAAAGTTTTTGCAGTACTGAGGATTGATGCCAGAGCGGCACACTGAACTCCATCCCCGCCCTTTCTGTATTCTTTTTTTTTCTTTTTTTTTCTTTTTTTGGTTTTTTGAGACAGGGTCTCACTATGTAGTTGAGACTGACCTGGAACTCACTATGTAGTCCAAGCTGGTCTCGAACTCATAGCGATCCTCCTGCCTCAGCCTCCCGAGTGCTGGGATTACAGGCATGCGTCACCACGCCCAGCAAAATTTTTAAACAATTTTAAAAAGAAGGGGGTGGGATGTAGCTCAGTGTGTGAAGGCCTTGAGTTCAATCCCTAGTACTGCAAAACAACAAAAAACTCAAAATTACCTTCCCAACTCCAGAGTGCGCGTGCACACACACACACACACACCTTCATTTTACCCTTCGAACCTGTAAACCTTAGCGTTATTTCTCACAAAACCATTCCACAAGCACCTATTCCTGGGTGGAAGACTTAGTGTCCATCTAGCCCCTGGATCCCGCAGGGCTCAAGTGTGGCCCAGGTGTAGGAGCGTGGCTGTGTGCCAATAAAGCTTTATTGACAAACATTTGCGTAGCCAGCACGGCCCCTGCAGGCTGCTGCCCGCTGAGCCGGGTTCTGACTGCTGTCGAGATGAGCCTGGCCGGGATCAGGATCGCGGGTGAGGCGGTCAGGGCTGGCCGGTGTCCGGGGCACAGGGGGACCGGCCGAGGCCTCCCATCTCCTTGCCCAGCCCGCCCTGCCCTCCCACAGGTACCTTCAAGATTCAGAAGACCCGGCTGCAGCGCGAGGGCTTCGACCTGCGCCAGACCTCGGACCGGCTGTTCTTCCTGGACCTGAAGCAGGGCCACTACCTGCCGCTGGACGAGGCGGTGCACGCGCAGATCTGCTCCGGCGCCTTCGCGCTCTGACAGGAGGGCCAGGGCGCCTGCGCGGCCAGCGGATAGAGGACCCCCCCCACGGGGTGCGCTTGCGCAGATCTGCGCCCCCCCATGAAGGGAGTGCGCATGTGGTCCTCGCTGGGGTGCTCGTCGCTTGCCCGACACTTGCCCTGCAGCGGTGGACTGGGAGCTGGATGTCTCTCCCCTCTGTGCCTTAGGACGGGGGCTGCGGGGGCTGCTCCCCGCCCCTCGACCGGAAGCACCC